GCTTGATGGCCTCACCCTCAGTCAGAATTCTTCTAATTGCCACCTGGAAGTCCTTCTCTAGGGCACATCTATCAGCAGCAGATAGGAAGGACTTACTAATTTTTAAGACTATAATAAAAAAGCTAGGTTTTGTTTGTTTCTCTTCATCTAATATGCATCTTCTCTCTTCCTAAATAGAGAAAGAGCCCACTTCTTTGAAAAAGATACATAAAATACATAAAAAGCAGACACATAAAAATGTTGATCACGACCTGGACATCAATAAAGAACAGTGTTTAAATCAAGAAGTGCTTTTACGTTCAAACGTCCACTACTGGCAGAGATGCTTTGTTAAATCACATTGGTTTTCACACACGTTCCAACAAATACAAATGCATAATTTTTTTCTAACGTGTGATTTGATTAGTACAGTCTACAATTTCCATTTGTAACAGTTGGAAGCAAGTTATATTCAAAGGCACATCGCTAAGAAAAGATGCTTTCTCAGGCACGGAGGAAACACCTTTAAAAGCTAATCCTCTATAGAGTTTTCCTTTTCAAAGCAAGTAATGTAAAAGCTGCTTTATGGTGATTGGGTGCATCTGGGTTTCACATTTGGATGGTTTTCACTTTGCAAGTCAGATACCAACTTCTAGGTAATGGCAAAGATTTTAATGTGTAGACAGTAAGGAATTTTACTTAAAAATAAAGAAGATATTCATAGGGAATTCAGATAATCCCGTACAGCTTAGACAATATTTCTACATGACAGAATTATTATACTTCTAAAGACATTTATGTTGGAAGAACTTAGACCTCCTGAAATAGGATATGGTGAAACTTCCCTCTGCAGAGCACAGTAAGGTTGGAACAAGGGGTGGTGAGGGTTCTGTTAAGCCCTGGTCTAAACACAGAAAGACTGGAGGGGGCCCAATCAATTCTCCCAATAGTCATTAGCCTGCCTTTTCTCCCACTAAGCAGCTCCTTTAAAAAAAACAACAAACAAAAAAACTCTCTTCACCCGTAATGTGCCAAAACCAGTGGACACAGAACATAGGGGACACTGTGACAACCCTAAGACTGTCTGGACCTGTGGGGACACAAGCGTCCCTTCACAGCATCTGCTGAAAAAAAAAATTAGATTAAATATAATCAATGTAGTGGAAATCAGCTAAAATACTAAAAGGCAGCCCAGGAATTTTTAAAGATGGGTTAGCACTGTTTGAAATTTCCCTTAAATGCCCCAAAATAAACTGCTAAAGCTGTATATGGAACTCTAGCCTGAGTCCCGTAGGAGACGGCAGCTACTTAAAGCTTAAAATGCCATGGCAGCCGTGAGCTTTATGCCACCCATCCCCCAAAACCTTTGCCAGTCCAACCCCAGCTCTCTGGGTTGACAAATCTTAACTTAAAATGGAAAATTAAATGGAAAGCTGCTTCCTCCCTTCTCCAGGCCCTATGTAATTTGGAACATGGATCCTAACCAGCTTATTTTACAAGCAGCTGCCAGGCCTTCCAGAGCAGGAAGCCAAGATATCTTACCTTCATCTCTGGCCACTAAGATGACTGTGTTCTTGAATATTTTACCCTGCTAAACATTTAAGATGCCCAAAGGCTGCCATTCCCAGGCTACACCTTTTAAAAACAGGCATGTTCTTCAGGTAGAGAAAGCACATACCCCACCCCCAGAAATCACAGAACCACACCTGAGTCATAGGTCCCTGCTATTCAGAGGCAATGGAACTTGCATACCCTGTACTGACTTAGGAGGAAGTGCTTTCCCTCCCCAGGCACCACCACTCCTGCCTCTTCAAAGAGCTCTGGTGACAGCCCGCCTAGAGAAGAAATACAGGCTTTTTCCCTTCTCCTCCCTACACACCTCCAATGTGTTCTCTGGCAACAGATTCTAATTCTGCAGGTCATGGAAGGAAAAGAACAGAGGAACCTTGTCCCTGGCATGGTGATTCCCCTCTCAGCCACCTATGGTCCTTGCTCCCTGCAAGAGAGCCGGAGGCACGGTCTCCAGAAACTGGGGGTCTTCCTAGAAGAGGGGCTTACTAAGCACTTCCTTGTGCCTCCCACTTCATCTTGATTGTCACCACTGTTCATGTTCTGCTGAGTTAAGGCAATATATTGGCTTGAGCCAAGAATGAAGGACAGCCTCAATGACGTGAAATGTGTAATTTAACACTGATGGCAAGACACAGCTTCGAGTGCAGGTGACATTAGAAAGATGTGACAATGCCAAATGAGAACGGGAATTCTGAATTTTCTTTATAAACCAATTAACAGTCTCTCCTCAATGCAACCTGATGCTAGCAACGATTCTTAATTTCTCACTCCCAACTCTGTGCTAGGAGCCCAGGAGGTAGCCAAAATAATATAAATGAGGTATTTATTCATGTGGGAACAAAATTACATAATAAAACAAGAATAAATGGAAGGAAAATATTGAGGTGCTATAAGAAGCATAGCAGGGCTAAACAAGGAATAGGTAGAACAGCATTAAGTACTAATTAAGGATCTTAACATCCGACAGCTCAATCTTTTATTGACATTACCAGCAACTGCTGCCTTTAGAACACTTTTGAAATTGCAAGTATTGAATCTCTACAAGAGAAAGAGGGATGAATGGATGGGTGAATGATGAGTGAATGAGGATGGTTTTCTGTTATTGGAAAATTTTTGTCACAACCAGAAACCTTATAGCATTGGCCGGCTCCTCAAAGGAAGATAAACTCTACAGAGGAGAGGATATTTCAGAACCGTTAAGAAGGCTGGGAAAAAATCATTGGGGATCATAGAATTAACACCAGCGATCTAGCAACAGTAGGTGGCTCGGAGAGAGACAGGGCATGAGAACAGAAGTAACAAAGGGAAAAATTAGTTGGACTAGTCCAAACAGCAGGAGGGGAAGCAGCGTGAGATGAGAATGAAGAATTAGAACTTAAATTTGCTAAAAATCCTCAGTCAACCATTTTTATGAAATATCCAGAATGAGGTAATATATAGAGAGGGGAAGCAAATTATTGGTTGAGGTGGGTGGAGGAAGTAGAGTGTGACTTCTAATGTATACAAAGTTTCTTTCTGGGGTCATAAAAAAGGTTCTAAAATCAGACTGTGGGGATGGTGGCACAACTCTGGATATACCATTCAATAGCTCAAACGGGTAAATATTATAGTATGTGAATTGTATCTTAATAAATCAAACTGAACAAAACAAAGACCCACGGAAGACGCTGATCAAGTGAAAAGTGAGGGAAGAGGGCATCATCTTCCTCCCTCATGGTGAGGGGCCCCTCACAAAGCCACAGTGAGGTCTAGACCAGGGAGCCCACAATCCGCTCCCAGGCATCTCACAATCTTTTGAGGCAATCTCCAAAACAGAATAAACCTGCAAACTGGATAAACCTGCAACTTTTCAGATTGTACTTGAAATTGCCAGTGACTGAGAAAATATGGGGCTCAAATGTGATTCCATTTGATTGTGGAAGTGCAGTTCTGTCCATAATAAATTGTAAAATATTTCTCAAGGACATGGGTGTGATTCAGCTAAGTGGTGACTTGCTAAGTGGAGGGCCGCTGTTCAACAGCTCAATCTTTTATTGAAATGAGCAATCCATCCTGCGGCCCCATACATCTGGTACCTAAAAGGCACCAAGCTGGATGTCCAGGGGCCCAGGCCCACCTTCAGAAAGGTAAATGAAGTCTGTCTTGGATGAGATATAAAAATAAGGGTTCTTAAATTCTTTGGATGGTTCTGGACGGGATTAGACACTACTGGACTAAAGAATTCTTAATTTTACAAAGAAGGAAAGTAGTATGCAAATAACTCAATTAAATATTACTCAAGTCACCTAGTGACTAGTTAGTAGCCTAAGAGTCAGGACTCAGTCTGTGCCCCAAGACCCTCAGTGGTGAATGTAGCTGAAGGGATGGGTGAGGCATCCTTAGAAAAAGCTAACCTTAGAACAGTGGTCAGACCCCATTACAGTCACATGTCACTTAATGACAGGGATACAAAATGAAAAATGCTTCATTAGGCAGTTTCGCTGTACAAACATCATAGTGTTCTGGGCCTCCCCGGTGGCACAGCAGTTGAGCGCTGGCTTGCGAAGCTGCCCGCAGCCTCTGCAGTGCCGGTTCGATCCCCGGCTGCTGGGCGAGGATCCCACATGGCGCGCAGTCCTCTCCTGCCACCTGCTGCTCCCCTCAGCAGTGTATTTCATCTGTCCGCCTGTTCTGCTCCCTGCTCTGGCTCTGGTGAATTCCCTCACCCTCCCTCACTTCTGACTGTACCCAGTGCTTGTATAAATAAATAAATAAATCTTAAAAAAATTTTTTTTTTGGGAAAAAAAAAATCATAGTGTTCTTACATAAAACTGATGGCATAACTCCCACACAGCTGGGCCATATTGAGGGACCTCCATCAGAGATGCAGTTTCTTGCTGCCCAAAATGTCATGTGGCGCATGACTGTAAAGCAGGTCCCTGAATGCCACTGTTTTGCTAAATATATTTCATTCAAGCATTATAGTCATTAAAGTCAGTTCCCAAGAACCTATAGATGGTGTTAAGTGAGGATCTATTGCTTAAAAAAAAAAAAAAAAACCACTAAAGAACAAATGCCTAAGGGGAAATAGCTGATCTTAAGGTAAGGCTGAGAGGACTTCTCAATTCATGCAGCTATTTCATGGTTCTGTTATGTGTCCTTGTGGGTCTGGATACCCCACCAATGCAATCAACTGGTGAGGAGGGAAGGTTTTTACAATTTCACAGGCCAGATTTTATCTGGAGTCTTTCTTATCAAATAAGCCCAGTGATACCAAATAAACACCAAGGAATGTAAAAGCTGCTTCCTTCTCTGGACTACACAAGGAGCCGGTATCCTCTGCAAAGGACAGGGCGGGCTCTGGCAGACGACCTTCACAGACCACGCTAAAACCCTGTTAAGAAGTGCCTGGTGAATGCTCTGGCTGACGTGCAAGGAGCCATGACATTACCGAGCAATGTGCTTCTTACCTATAATTCCACTGTCCTTGCTTTCCAGGGTGGAACTAGGGCTGCTAATGGTCTCACAGGGACTTTTGTTGGCTGCCGTCTTGCTGACACAGCTATTCAAGGTTGAGCAGGGGCTATCGGTGCTAGGTGATGCGGTGCTGCTTGTTAGTGTGGAGCAAGGACTGATGCCTTGGCTCAGAGCTGTGCACTGCAAGACGAATGGAAGGAGGAGTTAGCACGGCTTACACAGGACACTGCCACACATTCTTTTGTTGCTGATGCTAAAACAAAACTCACAACAGGAAAATGGAAAACAGCCTTTAAAATCTAGGGAGCTTTATATATATAGTCTTGCATGTTTTAAAAGAGAAATATAACCTTATTCTGTTCCCCTTCCTTTAATTCACTTTTTATTAATAAGGGCAGTCTTAGAAATAATTTAGTGGAAAGGCACATCTGTAAAACCAAAATCGTAAACAGGCAGACTTCCTTCATTTAAAGTCTGCAGAAGACAAATGGGTTCTTTGACCTCTGTACGGAAAACCTGGGAATTCGGTTTTTGTAATGTTTCACAAGCACTGCAAGCTGATTCAATTCCTGGAGATTTATGGGCCCTGTGATCAGGGGAAGGAGTCTGGTGGCCACTGCAATCTCAATCAACACATGACACCCTTGCAGAGACCCTGGCAGGGGGGCAGAAGCTCTGGCCCCTCATTGCTATTCAAACACACACATCTCGGAAGTGGCTGGCTGCTGCTCCCCAGGATGGTGAGTGCTCTCCAAGTAGATGAACCATTTGATCTCGTCTTATTTTGTCTCCGCCTCATCTGCTATAAATCTTTTCTTCACCCCACTGACCCTTCAAAATCTCAACTGCTAAAAAAGCCCAGGAAAGCATATACCAAAGCAGCCGGATGAGAAGAATGGTGCTATAAAGATAAAAGTCATATATTACACTGAGGATTTCTTTTTGCCACTTTAACTCCTTTAGCCACACTTCTCCAGTGGTGACTAGAAGGTTAATGTGGATGTTTTCTTAAGTTTTGCACCCTTCTGTTTCTCCCCACCTCCCCACTGCAAAAACCTACAAACTGTGGAAATAAATCTCAATACACAACAGCCCAGACTCATTTGACTGAATAATGGCTTCCCCACCCAGGAGGGGGAGAAGATGGTTATCCCTTTAATTCATCCTCTGAGCAGGTATGAAATGCAGTGTCTTCCTGGGGTATTACCATGGTTTCATTTTTTTCTTCAATGGTTATGTGGGTAGCAGTTGGGATCCCTTCTCCCAGTAAAAATCCCAGCCTTGTCAACAGTTCTTGAGCTGCCGGCGAACAGCTCGGTTCATTATCGGTCTTTGCTTCTGGAACAAAGAAAGAAAACAATGAAGATGCCCCTCTGGGGAATTTCAGTATCGCATCTGGATGAGTTGGCACTACAGCTGCTTGTCTGGCGCTTTTGTGTATTTTTATAAAATGCACAAAGTTTGACAATGCTGCCTGTCCTCGAGCAATACATTCTAATTAAGAGGCTGTGACAGGTTAAGAAAACAGTAAAAGAGAAACTCCAAGTGCAAAGGGTGAAGTATTTGACCTGAATCAGAGAACACGGCGTCATTATGTGATAGTGATTCCTATTTCCATGCCATGTGAAAAATGGGGACTTCAGACAGCAACAGTAGAAAAAGGGCTACCCTTCATCTTGCTCTTAAAGCACAATATGGCCAGAGCCCACAGGAGGCTGAAGGAAAGCATAATGTAAGTGGCATGCTGGCAGAGGCCTAGGCTACTTAGATGTTGGGGAAAAACTGAAATCCAAGCCCTCATTAAATAGACGGGCCATGACTGCTCCCGTGGAAACACAGTGTATCTCACAGCAGTGGAAGTCAAAACCAGGATTCTAACTCAAGGGTCAATCACCAGGAATCCACACTGAAACAAAGATTTTAAATCCCAGTAAAATGTGTTCCAGGAGACAGGACCCTGTAATGTTACTGAGTCCCAGCAACACATCACAGTAATACAGTAAGAATCCCAGGGGCCTCCCCGGTGGCACAGCGGTTGAGCGCTGGGTTGCGAAGCTGCCCGCTGCCTCTGCAGCGCCAGTTCGATCCCTGGCTGCTCCCGGGCCAGGCCACCGGAGGAGGGTTCCCGCATCACATGGTGCGCAGACCTCTCCTGCCGTCCGCTGCTCCCCTCAGCAGTGTACTTCGGTCCTTCTGCCTGCTCTGCTCCCCGCTCTGGCTCTGGTGAATTCTCTCACCCTCCCGCGCTTCTGACTGTACCCAGTGCTTGTATGTATGTATGTATGTATGTATGTAAGTATGTATGTATGTATGTATAAATAAATGAATAAATCTTTAAAAAAAAAAAAAGAATTCCAGTAACACTAATCCACGGTAATGCTGGAGGCATGTCCACCTGAAGACTGCAGGGCGCTTGGAATCCTTGCCATTCTCTGGCCTTTTCCCTCTTTGCACTTAAGGGAGCTGTAGGTGAACCTTGTGTCCAAAAGCCTAACGGTACTTAATTATGGCTAACAAAATAATATTCAACATTTTCATCATTTTGATCTCTCTCGCACATCTTTAAGTAAGCATCCACTGGGGTGAAGTAAGGTATTAAACAATCCATGCTTACAAAGCTAGGACTTAAAACAATATGTAACATGTAAAATAGTCATTAATCTTTTAATGTTTTGTTCCCTTTTGTTCAATCTTCTAGCTGAACCCATACACTCACGGACCTGTTTTCCCTAGCTTCAAGCTACAGTGTCACCACCAGAGTTCAAAAGTGACTCTGCCCTATGTAAGGAACCACAAAAATCAAAATAACAGAGTTAAGATCATCTATGTCCTCTTCACTCATAAGTTTTGCTAAGTCTCGCTCCCAGGATGGCAGCTACAAAGGAAATTCGGCTGGCAAGCTTCAAGGAAGGAAAACACCCACCCTCTGCTTGCTCTCCCAATGTTTGGGGTGAGAAGAGCTATTTGCCAGTGTGTATATTTTTTTAGTTATTCTAGAAAAATACACAGCTAACCAAGGCTAGTTTGCACTGGATTAAGATAGCCTGATGCACCTGGATCATTTGAGTTAAACTCTAAACATGAAAGGCCAGTGGACCCAAACCAACAGGAGTGAGAGAGTCACCAGGGGCGGGCGAGTCAACCACACCCTGAAAGCCACTCTAGAAGGTTCCTTCCCACCAGAGATCTCCAATCACATTTTGATTCTCAAGGTACATGGACCTTTGAGAAAGGGAGGCAAAAACCAAACTAAATCAGCACAACCCAGGCACACCCACAGGCTGAACCACTTCAGAAACTGATCAGTCCCACCCTCCCTCACCCCAGGGCTCAGGCAAGGCAGCTACTTTATCTGAAATGGCAGCTGGATCTATGGAGGGAACAGGATGCAGATGAGAAGGGGAAGAAGTGGGTGAGGGGGCAGAACACAGCACTTTCTCTTACTCCATACATGCCCCCTTTTCCTTTCAAAACAATCTCTACATTGCTACCCAGTTGTGACTGTGCCCCAGAATGTGTAGCTTCTAGTTCAACCTGAAACACTCTGGGGAAAGAGCCAGAAACTACTCCCAGTTGGCAGCTGCTGTGGAGGCAGCGAGCAGCTGCACAGGCTTGGGTGCCACAAAATTTACCCTAACAACAAAGCAGCCACAGCCTACGGCTCATTTGGGGCTCACTCTGAAGCCCTGCATGCTGTGTCAGCTGGAGGGAGGGCGACCCAATGGAGTCACTGTTGCCTAGACACTGTGTCTGAAGACAACCCAGATCCTCTAACTTTTCATTAAAACATCGATGTGTATATCCCAACATAGCCAGTGACCCAGTCCTGCTGCCTGAGACAAGTTAGGAAGGGATGGCAATTCCAAGTTTAATGTATGAATTAATAGGTGGAATCTAAACTCATGATAAATTTGTTTTCTTCATTGTTCAACATGGGCTGTGCTGCCATCGAAGTTCTACAAGCCCTACCTGAGATCAGGATGATACACTTTATTTCAGCTATAGTAGCCATTAAGTCACTGCAATTTTATTTCTTGCAAGGCTTCCCAACTGTCTTTTCATATTATTCTCTCTTCTAAAATGTCAAGCCAGTGACCTTCCCCTCAGAAATTCCCTTCAGTCTCAATTCCTAATGTATGTCAAAATGTTCCCATTTTTCTTTTCTCTCACTGAACTTTCATTCTGGCGGAAGGAGTCCTGGCTGAGGTGTGACAGTGCCATTACAGGACAGATGACTTGCCTGGGAACTCACACCAATATGCTCCACTGTGAAATGGAAATTCATTTCTACTTCCCTAATAGATCATCAAACAATGACATGTGAGCAGACATGATGGTAAACTAATTCTGACTCCAAAACTATCCCCAAACTGAATTCCAAACCAAAATCTAATGGGGCACTAAATGGAGAATCTATTTTCATTCATATAATTAATATGAAATCCCTCATCAGTAATAGGTGAACTTTACCTTATCCTAGTGGGATAAGGGTTAGGTACAGAGACCCCCATCTGTCAGCAACACTTTATATCTCATAGATTTATATATCCAAAGAATGTATGCTGTCTAACTTTGGAGTTGAGAGAACAGGCTTCACACTCCCTAGGAACCCACTAGGCAAGTGGAGAGTGACATTCCTTCCAATAATGTTCTCATAGAATCCCCGATATTACACCACTGAGGAATAACCAAGTGAAGAAAGGCAAATGGAATTTTTTGGATCACCCCTTTTTTTGTTACTCACATCTGTTGGGCCACATTTGAGGCATTAACACTCAGAAGCAGTCCATATTCTAACCAGTTCCTCAATGATGACTTAGTAAAATTTAAATCTTGTCCTTCGCTATAGTCTCAGAAAAAACAACACTCCATATAAAAGCTATCCTTAATTCCTTATAGTGTCAATCTCTCTGAATCTCAATTTTTTTTTTTTTTTTTATCAGCGAAGGGGCCACAACCCCCTTCTTATAGGTTGTGAGGCTCAAAGATATGTGTGAGAAACACTTGGTAAGCCAAACATCTTTAAGATGAAAGTGCTGTATCCAACTTGGTCATTATTTCTACCACCTGTAACACTACTTTCTATTATTTCATCTTCTGTCTCCCTGCTTACATTTTTCTTACCAAAAACCCCCAGCTTTCTGATTATCATTTTTCTGCCTTAAATAACTTTGTGAACTCCCCATTCCTTTGAGAGAATAAATTCCATCCATTTTCTGATTATCCAACTGCTCCTGCTTGGCCCACACTTGCTGCTAATCATCACACTTAGTAAATCATCCCCTCTTCTTCAAACCAGATTTCTATGAGAACTGTGAGGATCCCTGGAGATTACCAACAATCATTCCATCAAGCAATGCCAATTTTTCATTCTCATCTTCAAACTCTAGAGAGCTCTGGGCATTGTTTGGCCATTCACTAGCTATGTAACATTGAACAAATGACTTAATTAGCCGCCAAGACAGTATTTCTAAGTCAAGTCTGTTAAATGAGACAAGGCCTTGTGATGTTAAACCTCATCCTCTGTGTCTCCCTACCCATGTCATGGAAGATGTACTTCAGGCCTAACCTCTGGATGTCTGTGCTTTCTATTAACCAGTATTTTCCTGTTTTTTTTTTTTTTTTTTCTGGCTGTTCCTAAGGCATCACTGTTCCCCTTCTCCTTGAAGCTCCCAAAATAATATTTAAAGAGGACTAACTATACATAAAGCTGATCTATTGATGTCGATAACTGGTTTCTGCTGTGGTACAAGCACAGTCACTATACAAATCACCTTTAAGCTTTTAATCTTACCCCAAATCTTTCTATTTCTGCTTCAAAAATGTCCCCTGAATTAGATTTTTTTTCTTTAGTCATAGTGCCACTGAACGCTAAGTCTTCATTCCCTCAAGTGTAGCTAAGGATCAGACTCTGGATCAATTTTCTCATGTATTTTTATTTTCTCCCTCTCTTCTTTCCTCTAAGCCAGTGCTTCTCAAACTTTCGGTCTCAGGGTTCACTCTTAAAGATTGAGGACTTCAAAGAGTTATGTGGGTTACATGTTGATATTTGTCAGTAGAGATTAAAACTTTGAATTTTTAAATGTGTTATTAGTTCATTTAAAATTGTTGAAAATTATTACTAACATTTTTAATAAAAAATGACTTTAGAATTTAAAAAGCTAGCTACTATTTTTACATTTTTGCAAATCTCATGGTAGTGTCTGATTTAATAGAAGATAGCTGAATTCTCATGTCTGCTTCTTCAATCTGCTGTGATTTATTCTTCTGGTTGCAGTGTGTGAAGAATTGTGCCTTCAGACAGACATGTATTTGGGAAAGTGGGGTGGGGACCCTTT